AGTGGTACACAGACAGACACGCTGGCATAACACTCATACACATAAATAATTTTTAAACACTTAATTACATGAGAAAAGGATGGTAAGAATATCTTTCTTCGGTTTTTAAAAGCTAACTCATTTTGTAAAGGTTTGTTTTACTTTAATGTGTGTGTGTACATGTATACCTAGTGCCCACAGAGCCCAAAGGAGGGTATCAGATCCCCTAGAACTGGATTTGCATGTAATTATGAGTCACCTGATATGAGTGTTGGAAATTGAACCCAGGTTCTCTGCCAGAGCAGCAAGTGCTCTTAACCATAGGCCACCGCTCTGGCCCATCTTCCTTCTTTTTATGTGGGGAAGTCAAAGATGAACAAGGTAAACGGAGAAATTTTACCATTAAGAATGAAAGAGGGCTCAAAAGTAGCCCTTCAGCATCCCATCCTTGCAGACAAGCTTTGAGTTTTCTACAACTGCACCAACCAGGTGGTCCACACCTGCCACACCACCGCTATTACCTGCTTTCACAACCCTGATGCTTGTCTAGTTGTAGATTGTTTTTCTTGTTGTTTAATACATCTGACCCAAAAACAGATGCATTGTAAGGACTGGTCCCATTTTTCTAGACAAATAAAGACATATTTCATAGACAAATAAAGAGATGCCATGCCGTGTTTTCCTCCTTACTATAGTGTGTCACTCACCTCTCCTGACCACACCTTCCTGTGTGTTTTTAGACCATTGTTCCTGTTCCTGGAAATGACTCTTTCCTTGGATTTTTCTTGGCTACGGTGGAAATGGCGAACCCCAAATGGCTTCCCCGTACCCCCTTCAGAAAGCACGCCTCTGCTTTCTCCAGAGATGAACCAGCAGAGCTACAACCCAACAGAGCAGCGGGTGGTATATCCCAACAATGGCATGTGTCACCAGGACTGGAAGAAGGTCTCCAGGAGATACCCAGGCAACAGCATCTGTACAACCAAGTACACCCTACTCACCTTCCTGCCCCAGAATCTCTTTGAGCAGTTTCATAGGTATGCAACAAAGTCCTCCAACTATACACACTTTAGCCTAGTATTTGCCACTGAGACAAACTCAGGGAAGCTTTTCTCTAAGCAGCCTCCTGTAATATCCACATGTATATATGAAACAAGCTTCTCTCATTGACCAGGTAATGACTTATCTTGCCATGTTTTCGGTGGTAAGCATACATGAGGGAAAAAGGAAATACCGGACTCATTGTACCAGCTAGTGAATGAGACACATATTAATTTTTAAATTATTAAATTGATTAAAAACTGTAACCAGAAGGAATACTTGCAAGAAGGGAAATATGATGCCATTTTACAGTGAGAATTTGACCTACTTAATAATGTCAGCAAAGGTTTCCTTGAGGAAGTAGCAATTCAGATATGACTGGTTGAAAAGATAGGTCCCTGAGTAGATAACTCACATGGGCACTGGGGGCTAAAGTGTTCACTGAGCCAAGTTTGAGGACCAGAGTTCAGATCCCCAGCACTTCTCAAAGTGTGAGCCAAGTTTGAGACTGTTTACCTATAGTCCCAGCTCCTGGGAGGGGGAGACTGAGGAGCCCCAGAGCAAAGCTGACTAGTTTAGATTAGTGAAATCAATGAGCTGTTGTTTCAAGTAAGAAACCCTACCTCATTATGTAAAGTATAGAGTGACTGGGGAAGACTTCAAATGTCAACAGCTAACATGCACACATGTATATGCTCTTGCATAAACAGGTGCACCCATACATATGTGAACACATTGCATATAACACATGCATTTTTAAAGGAATAAAAATAAAGAAATGGGTGAAAGGAACCAGGAGAATGTTTCTACTGACGTAGTCACATGAACAAAGGCACTGTGGCAGAGGAAATGAGAGTCACTTAAAAATTTTGAATGTATAATCCATTCGTTTCAAACAATGAACAAAAGCACTAATTATAAATCAAATATATGCTTAAATCACAAAATCTATTGAAGTTTATGACGTTCATCAGCTGCCATACTTCAGAACACTTTAGTGTACACAAAACCAATTTTTATGTCACATAACATTTATAAGAGTCCTTTAAAGTGGACAGTATGATATTATGCTATCTTTGCACAAGAGAGAACAAACATCGGCAGGTCCATGAATTAGTAAATCACAGAGACAAGGTAAAGGTGTGGCCACCAAGACTGATGGCCTGAGTTCAATCCCTGTGACCTGGAAGAAGAGAATCCACTCCTGCAAGTTGTCCTCTGAGCTCCATATGCACACTATGGCAAAGGGCACATGCATGCTTGTGCGCACACACACACACACACACAGAGAGAGAGAGAGAGAGAGAGAGAGAGAGAGAGAGAGAGAATAAATAAGTGTAATTTTTAGAAATACATAGAATTTGCCTTCAAAGCCTTTACTACATTGTTTGACTTGACACTGAAAGACGAATTTGTTTGGGTTAAAGCCACTAACTAGGAAGAGATTGGAAGAGTATGTTTTTCACCACCTGGGTCTCCACTCACAGCTTGCTTGTCTCTCCAGGTGGGCCAACCTCTACTTCCTGTTTCTGGTGATTCTGAACTGGATGCCCTCCATGGAAGTCTTCCACCGGGAAATCACCATGTTACCATTGGCCATTGTCCTGTTCATCATCATGGTCAAAGATGGCATAGAGGACTTCAAGAGATACTGCTTTGATAGAGAGATGAACAGCGCCAGCATTCAGATATACGAAAGGTAAGGGGGCTCTACCACTGTTCTCGCTCTTGTAAACAGGCTAAATAAACTCATCAGCATATTTAAGGGACTAATCTTTACTTGAGTATGGCTTTTAACTTTAGTTTGTATGTGTGTGTGTGTGTGTGTGTGCGCGCGCGCATGTGTGTGTTTGCCACAACACACAAATAAAGTCCAAAGGTCAACTTGTATGAGTTGGTTCTCCCTTCTAGTATATGGGGTCTGGGTGTTGAACTTAAGTCATCAGACTTGATGGCAAGCACCTTTGTCTACTAAACTAATCTCATATGTTCTTTTTAAAAAACAATAATATTTTTAAAGTACTACTTTTATTTTTGCTATTATAATTTCATCATTTCCCCCTTCCTTTATCTCCCTCCAAGCCTCTTTATAAACCTCCTCCTTGCTCTTTTTAAAATTCATTGCTTTTTCTCATTAATTATTGTTGCATGTGTATAGGTGTGTGTGTATGTACATATTCCTAAACGTAATCTGCTCAGTCTGTCTAGTGTTACTTTATGTATGTTTTCGGGTCTCACCATTTGGTATTAGAGAGTCAGTTGGAGAGCTCTTCCCTGGGAAGACCCTCATTCCCACTCTCAGCACTCCTTACATGCCTGTAGTTCTTTGTACAGCACTGAGGCCTTGCAGACTTTCTCCAGGGCATGTTAGCATTGTCTGTTGTTGTTCTTGTTCAGCTCAACTTTGAACAATCATGTTGGTGAAACTTTATGGGTGTAGCTTCTGACGCACTAGGAGACTTCCCAGTAAACTCTCTGATCATGTGGCTTTTACAATCTTCTCACCCCCGTTCTCCCAGGTTCTCTGAGCCTTAGGTGAAGGAATGTTCTGTGGAGGTATCACACGGGACTGGGTATTCTGATTAGTTCTGGTTTTGTGTAGTGCTCTCCTGCTGTTAAAAAGAGAAGATTCCTTGGTGATGGATAAGGACTACACTCGGATGTGGATAAAAAGACAAATATTTAGAGTATAGTTAGGGGTTATGCTGCTTTAGTGAAGTGGCAGCTGTAGGATCTCTTCCAAGATCCATGACTTCACGAGCCTTGGGTAGTTGGCTACGTTTCCAGTGGTGGGCATGATTTCGATGTTCTTGATGGGACTTAGTCCAATGAGAGAGCTATTAGTTATTAGCAAGATATGCATTGCACTATTACATGGCAAGTTATTTGTGCCTTACTGGTCATTGTTGTGGTTCATAGGTATTACAGATAGGTAGGCCTTTTGGTTGCTTCTTATTTAGGAGCTTGAATGGCACCTTCTGGTATCAAGAAACCTAGTCCTCAGGGAGGGCCTTGCAGGTCAACTCCAGCTCAAGGATCTTGGGCCCTTTGTCTAAAGTGCATGATGTCTTTGTCAATAGGGATTTACCTTCCACCTTTGGAAGTAACCTGTTATGTTCAGAATCTCTGACCAACAGCTCAAAGGAGGACTTGCAATGACTCATGTTGGGGGTTTTGTTAGATGCATCTTCTTTGGCTCTTGGAGATAGCATTGTCAGCCCAAATAAGAAAATTTCATTTGAACTATATTAGTATATTTATACACAGACTTATGTGTGTGGTAAGGGTTTTCTTATGTAGATAGTGAAAAGTTCCTTAGGACTTTTTCAGACATTAAGTTTTCTTAATTCAGTGATTCTCAGCTGGGTGTCATTTTGACACACACCTCCTCATGAATATGTGGTGAAAGGTTGGGATAGTTGGTAGGCAGGATACTATCAGCATCAAACAGATGGAGGCTAGGGGTATCAGGTTATGTCTTAAATACACAAGACAGGATACACACACACACACACACACACACACACACACACACACACATATATATATATATATATATATATATATATATATATATATATACTAGTCAAAAATAGCAGGGCTGATGTTGAAAAACCTTGATATAGCTCATGGAAACCTTCACAGACATTGCATTGTTAAGTTTGGGCTAGATGTCCAAGGATTAGACTCTAAGATGATTAGATCATCACAGAAGACTAATTTCCTAAGAAGCTCTTTTGATGTTGTCAGGTGATGTTGCACAAATTAAAAAACAAAAACAAAAACAGCCAAGCTGTTTTTAAAGCTGGAGAGTGCCGTGGCTAAAAATCCATTTTGTTACTTAACCTGGTAGGTTTTAGGACCCAGAATTAGTGCACCTGTGTAGCAAAGGAAGCCACCTGTGGATGACTCCTACATTCCAACAGGTGGAGTCTCAGCCTGGCAGAAGGAAGTACCTTCTGGACACACACCCGTTCCCAACCAGCTCCTTCCTGATCAGAGTTCTCCCACACTCATTTCAGCCCGGCTTGCTGTCTTCCTTTCTTTCAGTTTTTTAAACTGTTTTTTACTGGTAGGTTTGAAACGAGAGACATTTTATTTTCAGCACATTAGGTGAGCTGTAAAAGATGCTCAGTAAATTATGAGAGAAGAAGAAGTAGGGTTGAACAGAGATGAGGAAGGAAGGGAGGAAAAGGCGGAAAAAGAAAGAAGATAAGAAGAGGGTCGTGGTCTCCAACCTACCTTTCGAAGGATGGCCCTACAAAGAAAACCCCAACCGCCACTATCGCGGGAACCAAGTCAAGACCAGCAAGTACACAGTGTTGTCCTTCATACCCAAGAACCTTTTCGAGCAACTGCACCGTTTTGCCAATCTCTATTTTGTGGGCATCGTCATTCTGAATTTCATCCCCGTGGTCAATGCGTTCCAGCCAGCGGTGAGCATGATTCCGATCTGTGTCATCCTCGCTGTCACCGCCATCAAGGATGCCTGGGAAGACTTCCGGAGATACAAATCTGATAAAGTCGTCAATAACCGAGAGTCCCTGATCTATAGCAGGTAAAACTAAGAGCTCTGGGCAAGTCTTGCTGGTGCAACCTAACTTTCCCTGGCTGCACCCCCTGCTAGCACAGGGGATGGTGGCAGGGGTTCTAATGATTTACCTCAGTGTACTGTTTGGTGCCCAGAGTAAGGATTATAGTACGAACCACAAGCAAAGGGGGCTAAGGAAGGCTTTTCGAGTTAGGAAGTTTTCATTTAATAATATATTCTTTGAAGATGTTTCTAAAAATTCTCTTCCCTAACTAGTTGGGTGTTGCTGTGAGCATGTTTGGTTTGACTCGGAGGAGAAATGTATCAGTGTTTCAGGGAGTGATGGAGCTTTGTCTTAGAAGGGACCCTGAGGACAAAACCCGGCTGAAGCACTGTCTCCAGTCCTAACCAGGTGGTGGCCTTAGGCAGGTAATGCAAATGCTCACAGTGACATGTTGTAATTCCTAAAACAAGAGCAATTCTTGCTGTGTTCATGAGACTGATACAAAATGGCCCTAGCCAGTGCTTAGTGTTAATATCAAACAAGTACATAGGAGCTACAATCCCTTTTAGAAAGCAAAGTTCCCATCTGCTGAGCAATTGACTGTCCCAGGCTCGGTTCTGATAGTCCCATAAAACTTAACCTGCCTACCTTGGTCTGATTCGACCACACTGTTTATTGTTGCTTTGTCTATACAGATACATTGCAAAGTTTCATTGGGCAGATGGCCAAACTGGGCTGTTAGGGACCTGCTTTTATTTGGTAAGGGGGGAAAAAACAGAATTAAAAGCTGGTCTCTATGTGGTGACTACCTGTGTGTCTGTCTACAAAAGAGCTAGGGGAGTTGAGCTCAGGTTCCAGGAAAGAAAATAACAGGATGCTTGTTGAATGAGCTATCAGTGAGCCTTGAATGCTTGCAATGCTTAGACATGTAAGGCTTAGTTTCTTATTAAACAGGGAAAGTCATTCTATCAGTCTCTCTGACACTCTGTCTCTCCCTCCCTTTCTCCCTCTCTCCCTCTTTCCTTCTCTCTCTTCCTCTTCCTTTCTCTCTCCCTTTCCCCTCTCTTCTTCTTTCATCCCTTTCTTTTTCTCCCTCTTCCTCTCTCTCCCCTTTCTCCACCTCTTCCCCTTTCTCCCCCTCTCTCCCTCCCTCCCTTTCTCCTCCTCATCTCCCTCTCTCTTTCCTCAGATCACTCTGGGGCTGTCTTACTCCTTGTTTTTTTGTTTGTTTGTTTTAGAGTGGAGTTGGATATTTATTTAATGATTATGGAAGGGAAGGAAAAGGGGGAGAAGGGAAAAGAGGCTCCCTCTCAGAGAGAGGGGACAAAGAGCCTCCATGTTTTTTAACAGCATCTGCAGAGGTTTTTCTGTTGCCCTGGTCCCTGGCAGAAGTGAAAGGGAATTACTTTGAAGCTACTGGAACTGGGTCATGGAAGGCTTAGAAGTGAAGTTCTCCACTAGGGGAAGCCTACAGGGAAACTGTGACATACAAAGAACCCCCAAGTGGAACACCATGCTCCCCACTCAGGAACACTGAGTTTTTGCCCATCTTTGCTGGCAGGGCCACAGTTATATGTCTAGAAAAAGTGATCTGAGGGATTTTTTTTTCCTTTCCCAGCTAGATCTAATTGCCATGACTGTTGTGAGCACAGTGGTCAGCTATAGCTGAGATGTAGACAGGCTGTCAAAATGAGAGGAAGGAATAGCTGCCTGGGTGGAAAGCCTTTCCTTACAGGGAAAGCATCCATTTTCAATGACCTCAACCCACCCATCTAGCATTTTGTCACCACCTTTCTTCTTTGTTGTTCCAGCACGGTGGAACAAAGGCAAGCAGGAAGCTGGTCCCCTACAGAGGAATGGGAGTCCTGTTCTTCCTGCTCTGCCAGAATATCCCAGAGTAATGAGCCTCTTCTTGGCACTAATCCCAATGTTAATCAGAGGGCATACTCACCTGTGCTGAGAGCCAGAATGACCTATTGTTCTGCTCTCAAAATAACCTGGGGAAAACAAGGTAATAGCCAACCAGAATAGGTAAGAGAATGATTATCTATTAAATATATCTAATAGCTAAGGTATGACTGCACATAATCTGCACATAAAATGCACATATATGATTGCCTGTAATCTCGGCCCTGGCGAGGCTAAGGCAGGAGAATCAGGAGTTCAAGGCCATCTTGCCTACGTAGTTCAAGGCTATCCTGAGCTACACAAGAACATGTTTCAAAGTTTAAAAAACAAGGAGAAAAAGAAGAAAAGAATTTAGAAAAGGTATTTGGTTGACCACTCACTGGCAGGCGGAACAAAAGGAGGATTCAGTGTTTCTGAAGGGGTGTTCTTAAGATATCCTGCCCCAAAATAGCTGCAGGTCCTCACAGCCCATGGCTCGTGGTTGACAAAGCAAAGGTACACAGAAAAAAATTAAAAATTAATTAATTAATTAATTTTAAAAAACCTAATTAATTAATTAAACTTCAGGTTTCTCATAAGCACTTTTAGTACCTAAGTGTGGAAACGTTTACTCTTGTCAATGACAGCAAGATAACTGACTATGGGGCCCAGACAGGCAATCGTGTTGGGATGGAACAGGGATCGTGGGCACTCCAAGGGTCAAGCCCAGAGGGTTCATCTCACCGCAGAGCTGACTGCGCAGATAATAACATACTTTCTTCCAAGTAGAAATACAGCCCAGTGCTGAGTGGACCAAATTACCTGAGTTCCTTAGGAAAACTAAAGTTATTACATCTTTGTTATTTCAAATTCGGTTATCTTTTTACAATTTCATGCATGTGTATAATATATATTATGTTACTTTGACTACATATAATTATATATACATATTACTTTAATTATATTCCCCCCATCATCCTTTCTTATTCCCCTCCTCCTCCTATTGACTGCCTTCTTCCCAACCACTCCCACTTCTAGTTTTATGCCTTTTTTTTGTTTTGGGAGGGGGGACATCCCGCTGCATTTAATTAGAATTGCATATGCAAACATGGGTGGGGCTTATTTATTTGAGAAATTGTAACATACTGGAGGCTACAATCTTGGCTATCAAATCCCCATTTCTCCAACAATCTTTAGCTACCCATGGCACCTTCGCAAGGGTTGCTAATGACATAATTGATGCAAATTCTTCAGATTTAGTTTGTTTGACCTAAGTTTCTGCTCTGCCTGGGAACATCTAATTTTCATACTTTGCTTTATAATATCTAAAACATCAGAAGTCTTTGCAAAAGAATAATTGTATTCTTCCAAGATCTCCCCTCAATGAAGGGTTGTCTTTGGACAGAAGGAGCTATGGCCTTGAGAAGATAGCAGGCTTGAGGAGTCCACTGCTTGTCATCTAGGCTCAGGTCTTCAGCCAACTATGAGTAGGCTGAGAAAGCCACGTACATTTCTCCATTCCTATTTCTGCTTTCACAAGGTTAGTAGAACCTGTAAGGTATACTATTGGGGAAAACAAACAAACAGAGCCTACAGCCAAGTGATTCAGGATATAGTGCCTACATGCTATTGCTCTTGGGTCTAATAACACGTGGTAACATAATTAATGAGTCAGGCACAACCCTCGGCAAGCATCATGTCTAGTGCCGTGTTGGCTCAGTTGTTTTCTCCTGCCAGGCAGAAACCTCAATCACAGAGATTTTCACAATAAGGAATTATGATGTCTTAAACTGCTACAGGTGACTTGCGGTGAGCGAGTACCTAGTACTCAGTCAGCTTCTAGACTTTTTCTTGTCTTTGTCATCTGAACCCTCAGACAATTAGTTGTGCCCCATGATAAGGAAAGAGCCGCAGCAGGGCCTGTACTCAGAAGTGCATCTAATATCCCACATAGTATAAAGAAAGGTATTTCCGGTGGCCTTCATAGGTCAAAAGAAGTAACTTACTCCTAACCACCTCACATCTCGGTGGCCCCCATTGGATCACATGCCCACCCTGACCTAATCCCTGGCAGCAGGAATTAGGATGATGAAAACCAATTATGCCTAAGGAAAGGTCTTATTCCACAGAACCCAGCCACGTTTTCTAAGAAAAAATAAAACCCAAATCAAATAACTTCGAAGAAAGAGAAACGGACATTGCAGAGACCACCTCCATGTCCTCATCTCTGTCACTTAAAACTCCATTTCTTGGTCCATTGCTTTCCACCTGTTAGTGGGAACATGCCAACCTTGGGACACCCTGCCATAGATGGCCCTGAAGTTTGTCTTACTCTGAAGCATACAAGTTCTGTGAAAAACCGTGGCAGGAGAAGCCAGAAATGTGCCCTGTGTGTTAATGATTATCTGAACACACGGAGACTAAGGGGCCTGTCCTGTTGCCAGAGATCAAAGACACAGGATAAGATAGCAGACAAAGAACTCAAGAGTTGAGAAAGTGACAGTGTTTTCTGAGGGACACCCAGAAGTATGTGTCTGACTCTTCCCTCCAATTTCTCTCATCTGTGAAACTGGCACCTTTTCTATTCCTCTCTCTTTCTTGCAATTAAGCACAAAGGCCCATAGAATTCTGCTTGCTATCTAATCCCATGCATCATCCAGTCTAGACTCGTTTCTACTGTGCGGAAATGGCTTTGGTGAACAGCGGAAGCCTTGTTAACAGAATTACAATCCTGTTAGAGCATTTTCTTTTAATATAGCAAGGGTGCTTATGGTCGAGAGGTGACCCATTAATCAGATTTATGGAATGACTTGGAGGGGAGATTAGCTTCGGAATTGTGTTAGCTTAGCTTCTCCCAGGGCTCTGTTTAATGAATCCAGAAACCATACCCAGCAAGAGGCTTGTATTTTTTCCAGCTAGCTTAGGGAAATTGTATTGGTATTCAGAAAACACGCGGCACAGGAGAAGGAATGAGGAATGTGAGCCGAGGGAATTGGAGTGGGATTCGTCCCCAGATTGAAACGAAACAAAGTCCACCCTGAGTTACAACAGTCAGTCACCAGGTTATTCACCTGTTTGGCCAAATGCATGCGTGCGTGCATGAGGGTGCATGCACGTGCATGTGTATTGTGCATGC